CAAGCAGGGAAGAGGGGGGAGGGAGGGGTGTTCTCAGTGTCGGCGTGCGTAGATGGTGGGGGTGTCTGTTCTGACGACATGGTATTCACTGGGGTAGTAGGCCAGGGTAAACAGACTGCGGCTACGAGCGTCTTTTGACAGCATAGACCGGGTTTTACTAGCCTGATTGCCACTGCCTCTGCTGTGGCTAAAACCCGCTTGCGCAGGCCTTTGGAGTAGTGTGTCGGCCTGTGTTACATGACCCGAAAGGCTTCTCTCGCGTCCACTAGGTGGTTCGTATCAATGATTTGGGCGAGGACTGAGCTTGAGATAGGTCTGTTCTCTCCTTTGCTGAGCCATGCCGGTATGTGCTCGCGTATTCTCTTCTCCAGGCGTCGCGTCGTTCGGCCAATACATCCCGCTCCACAGGAACAGGTGAAAGAATACATGCACATCGATGTGGCCCGAAACGGTAGTCTGTCTTTACCTCCTATTCGTAGAAGGGGGGATTTAGTGAAGGGCACGTGCAAGTTTGCCGCCGGGCAGGCATTCGTGACTGCTGTCCTCAGGCGTCTTCTTACCAGTTCACTTGTTGCATCTCCCATAAACGGCAGTCATATGAATAGATCTTTCTTTTCCGCCGTTGAAATTGCCACCTTCGTGACACGCTCCTTGATGTTCTGAAGGATGAACCTCTCTGGATAACCGTTTTTATGGAGTATGTCTTTCAGCTGCTGCAATTCTACTTCCATTATTTCAGGAGAGCAGATACGGCGTATTCTGGTTGCCATTCCCTGAACTAAGTTCCGTTTGACGTTAAGGGGCACGAAGCTGTTGAATTTAATGTATTGCTCAGTTCAGGTTTTCTTTCGAAATAGTCGGCGTTGTATTGAGCCATCCGGTTGTCTGTGTACGAGGACGTCTAGGAAAGCGAGTTCCTCGTTCGCCTCTGTTTCCACTGTAAATGTTAGCGCTGTGTGGGCCGTATTAAATGTTTGGACTAGACCATCGATATCAGCGGTCTTATTTGTCAGGCAAAAGATTTCATCCACGTACCCACCATAGAACTTCAGGTCATTGATAGTGTCTTTGAGCGTCGTTTCCTCGATCTTGCCCATGATGACACTTGCGAGGAATGGTCCAAGTGGTGAGCCCATTGCCACTCCTTCTATTTGCCTGTATAGCCGGCCATTACAGAGAAACTGTACGTTTTATGTACAGCACGTCAGTAGTTCTTTCAGCCTCTCCACTGTTATCCCTATCTGGTAGTTTGTTTCGCGTATGAAGTTGCATAGGCATTCTATGGTTTCAACTGCCGGGACGTTGGTGAACAGTGAGGATACATCTAATGACAGCATCATCGTTTTGCCAATGTTTCTATCGTTGATAGCCTCGACGAATTCAAACGTGTCTTTCAGGCTTCTTGGGTATAAGCGGCTCTGCAGTGGCTTTAAATTTTCGGCAAGCCATTTTGCTACGGCGTGGTACGGCGAGTTTCTCATGTCCGTGAGTGAAGGTAATAATTAGAAAGGCTTTATTTTGGAAAACTGTCCTCTTAGTTAAAGTTCTTGAGCGAAATAGGCACTAATTTAGGCTAACTCATGAGTAAGTCTATGTTGAAGAAATTTCCTATGCTATAAAGTACGACAAAATACATTTCTTTTATTAACATGCATTGTGTTATGGAAGAATTCCAGAATAAGCAAAAAAAGTGGAAGCAATATCCCTTCCAGAACAGGAAAATTTTGTCCGAAGTCGCTCAAATAGAAGTGAAGCCAACCTTAAGGAATCGCATCTATTTGCAGAAACAAGGTAGATTTATACTTCAAAAATTATGCATAGCTGATCTGTGAAGTTTTTTTCGCAGAAAATGCAGTAACAAAAGTTCATTGCATTTGCTTTAAACCGCACCGCTCACCTTGCCGTTTAAGCAAAATGTCCGCATATGTTAAGGTAATGTAAAGAGGGCTTTATTGAATGGAAGCCGTGTAGAAATATACTTTTTTGTAAACTATACGTTCGGTTTATGCGTTATTTAGAAACGGAACAGACAGAAGGAAAAAAAATAATATTTCAAAAAATGGTCATATATATATGGCCAGTGTTTTTGCATTCGAAAGCTTACAACAGATTTTGGAATTAATCCACTTGGGCGAAACATAATCCGTTATAAAGAGAAAAGTAAGTCCTTTTATCTCCAGTCAAATTGAATCGTCTATCTTCAGGTTAATTAAAGTAATTGTCAAAAGTCTCCAATTTCGTTCTGATATTACCTTGGAAAAAGTTAATATACACAGAAATTCGTCAGCCGAATATCTATTCAAAGCACTTATTAAAGACGTAACCTATAATGCAAAGTTTTTTTATGAATCTTAGGAATAGCAATATCAGAATTCCGTTGCAGACATTATTTATTCTCGACAATATGATATGCTGTTTTGGGGCATTTCTAAATATGAGCAACATGGCCATCTTCATAACAACTAATATCCTAAAACACTTTCCTTCGATAAATGCTCTTTGTGTATATCTTATTTTAAAGGTTTTGGTGTAAACGTTGAACAGAAGCGCAATTTATACATTTAAATGTATTTTGTTGAAAAAGTGCGCAAAAATATTCGAACTTGTACAGGTTTGCGAGAAAATTGCACTTTCTTTAAAATTCATACTTAAAAAGGGCATTCTGGATTTTAGAAAAGTTTCTAAATCGCGGAGTAACTTTAAAACCTACGACCATCACACTTGAATTTAAGGATTCAAAATTGCGTGCTCTGTACATTCTGCATAAGGTAAACTAGGTCTTTTCATAAAATGTTGCAATAGATATGGAGCATACTGTGTACAGTATAGGCAACATTAGTAAATTTACGGATACGATGGATTATGAATGGAGATTTCACAGTTGTAACATATCCCCATCAGGCTCTCCTTCAAGCATAAAACTTGAAGTGCAAAGAAAGAATAATTATGTCAAAGTTATCTATAAAATATATTTGAATATTTAAAAACAGCGAAAATCAATTAGTTATATGTGTAAGTATGCATAAGTAATCATTTGTTACGAAATATACTTTTTGCAAGCGGTCAGAAAAAGGCTCAGTAAAAGACTTGCATCCAGATGTGACTTAAATTCATTGAGGTTAGACTGCACGATAATCAGTTTTACAATCCTTCATAGTGACGATTGGCGTCTGATTATTAATCTTTCGCAGAGTTCGGCATTTGCATGAAATATCGACTGTACTGTAAAGGATTAATCTCCTCGAATCAGTTTTTGATGCCATCCCGAAATACTACTTAAACTGTGTGGATCTTATTTCCATAGTGAGAATGCATTAAAGATACCGGAGCAGTAATCTATATGAAATGGATCCGACAAAGCATACTTAATCTCTATAAGATGACGAATAAGACTTAGGTTTTCAAAGTCTTTACCTAGTAGCCTAGAGAATTCACAGAAATGCACTGACGTTTTCTAAGCATTTTTGTTTCTTATCGTTAATGAAGAATGAAGTATAGTACTGTGTCTTATGCGCAAATTTTCGGCTTAGTTGCATTAGCGAAAAAAGCAGCAAAGAACTTCAAACTGTTCATGAGCATACAGTAGGTCGGATTTTTTATATGCCTTTCCTTCTGCAGGACACTGGAAAAGGATCGCTGCCAACGAAAGACAGGTCAAATAGAGCAAACTTGCAGGAATGGTAAATATTAATATGTCCTAATCCTAGCTCGAACCTAAATTGCAACCACAACCTTAATCCACCTTTCTCCGGAATTCAGAGCAAAACCATCTTACTTGCTGGTAGTTCTTGTTCTCACGTTGTGCCCGACGAGGGGGGGCATATGCAGGCAATGAAGAAAATGCATAGAGTCCTTGGCAAATCTGTAGTTAAGAAGAAAAAGAACTCGCAATTTAGGCGCTTACAGAGTATTTTCCTCTATTTTTATTCTATGAATCCGTACTGGACCTGTAAAAGCTGGAATCCCAACGAATAGAAAAAATCCTGTTACGGCCCCCTATACTTCTTATATAATATTTTCGGTTATTATGAAGCGGATATTGTTGGCATTATATAAATTTGCCCGCTCTACCCAGCGATATTCCTGTTCACAAGCCTCGCCTCCTCTAAATGTACCTCAAACCAAATATTATTCAAAAACCTAAATCTTGAGCGATGAATATGGTTTAAAATAAGGGTTTAGTTCTTGAAGGAACGTACGCATGTTGCCTTGTGGAGACTAACCCTTCTGTTAGATGCCCTAGACTCTGAAGTTTTTTACACGAATTCTCATTGTATAGACAACCAAGGATTGGACATCGTAAGACATAAAGAATCCTGCCTTGTCAATTAGCCAATCAGACGTGACCAAATCGGTATGAAGACCAGATGCGCGCATGCTTATTTATATCTGAGTCACCCTTTTGACATGCCTCAGATCTAGGAAAGACTATTCTTATTGTACCTCTTAGGCTCTGAACTTCCAAAGGTATGTCTTTTAAGCGAATAATTTACTGAAGTATACTAATCTTATTACCCCGTAGTATATGCAATCCAACTAATAATTCAATTTTATTGTCGCTGATAAACACGAATAAATACTTTGAACATTACTGTACGTACTGAGCTTTCTTAGCCACTGTCTGCAACTTTAAACGTGCATATAAACGAAGTTGACTACGTCACTGGACCTATAACTCCTTATCTTAAAAAGTATAATCCCAAAGCAATTCATAAGGCGCAGCATGCTCAATATTTAGCTAGGAATTCAACCCCCCGCTTATTCAAGTCCTACATGCATATAAGTCAAGGGCATTGCATATACCTCTTTGAAATGGTAGAAAAACAATTGGATTTTTATGTCCTATTCATTCACTTGCGCGTTCCTGAATAATGTTGACTTGGATTGCTTTCAGAATTGCAACTAAATAATTCTTGCATTCTTAGAGCAGACTGGGCTTTAATTGTTTTCTTCTAAAACCAAATATCGCCAGAAGCCTTAGACTGCTTTGAAAACACTAGCAACATCACCAACGCAACCGACAAACCACTATCTAGCTTATCTTGTTCATAATGTTTCACACCTGCAAGTCACACATTAGCCTTGTCGATCACCCGTGAATCTGTCACACAGAGCTTGGTTAACCAGTGTCAGGAGCACCAAAATACACTTCTAACTCTGACTAAGGGAGAAGGCTTGTCGAACACAGGAGCATTTGGTTTATTGTTCTAAGCTTTCAAAATCATACAGGAGTTCGTCTTCCGAGATAAGAAACAACAACGAAAAGAGAGTAATTATAAGGAGCCTAAGCCAATCAACTGATGATCTCTAACAGTTGATTGGCGTATATTCCTATAATTACCTCCTTTTTGTTGCCGTGTCTTATCTCTGAAGATGAACCCCTGTAAGAGTTAAATAACTCAGGGCAGCAATAACTCCGGTGCTCGACAAGCCTTCTCCCTTATCCATGCAAACACCTGGCACGCGAAGTTCTCATTCACCCCTTTCTCTTGCATTAGCAGAGCACACTACCTAAGCTTACTCAGTCATCCCATTGACAAGTAGGCCATAAAACACATGTGGTAAGACACCGTCCGTGAAAGTAGCTCCCAATAAATCTTCTCACTAACACACAAACAAAAAACACGCACCAACTGGTCCGACATCAAACGTAACAGATTCAAATAGGCGCTTACCAAGTATATAGAAAGCCCATTCTTTGATTCTATTTCCCTATAGCCTCTAAGGCTCTCGTTCGCATATGAACTTCCAACCGCCCACTTCCTCTTCTTTGAAGACCTAGAGTGAATGTTTGGTGGCCAGGTCATGTGTGGCATGCGTAGTGGGACTATTTAGTTTTGTTAGTCACTGCGCTCGATCCCATCTCTTGTCTTTTTCACTCTGTCTTAAAATCGGCCCTAGGTGATTGAAAAAGGTGAGAGCGCGGTAGGCGATATGCAATTCTATCGTCAACAGCAACTAACTCACGCGCAAGTCACCTTCGTGTGCTTATCTTGATGTGACACAAATTAGTGGACATCGTCTGCAATTATGGTGGAAATGTCATGATGTTTAGTTTACCTTAATGTATATACGGACATTAGCTTGCATAGCGCCTTATGTTAGTTGCAGGGCAGTCAAAGATAGGGCACTGTTA